CTTCACTCCCCACCCACAGCCCCCTGGCGCTGCCAGTGCCCACACTCCCAACTCACAGTCCCCTAACCCCCTGGTGCCTCTCACTCCCAAGCCACAGCCCCACTCCCTATCTGCAGGCCCCTGCTCCCCCCAGCCCTCCAGTGTCTCCTGGCCACCCTGCCCCTGTGAGCACAGGCACCAGCCCCAGTACCACTGGCTCAGCCCAGGCATGCAGCTTCTTGCTGCCCCCTAGGGGTCCCTCTCTCCCCTTCCCACACTGGAGGGGCAGGCATGTCCCCCCATCTCCCCTGCCCTACTGCAGCCCCAGTGCCTTGACAGCCTCCCCCAATGCCGGCAAGCACCTGCCCCCCTCACACACCCACACCCATGTGCTTCCCCCTCCCCTCCACATAGCTCCCCTGACAGTCCCCAACCCTGGCCCTCCAGCCCCTGCTGCCACAGACTTACCTGCATGCAGTTGCCAAGGCCATCCCCACCACCCTGCCTGGCTGCATGCCAGCCACATGCATGTGTGCCCTGTCTCCAATCACCCACCCCTCCACTCCCTCCATCCCCAAGCAGCTCCTTGCTAGGGCAAGCCGGGAAAAACTTCAAAGCTGACCTGACCAAAATCCCAGACATTTGATCATATTTAAAATAATTGCCTGAACAGAGATTGGAGGATCCTAATGAGGACATGTCCAGGAAAACACAGACATTTGGTAACCCTATTCCAAGCAGCCAATTGTTAGATTTCATGGGTTGGTTAAGGAGACATGCTGTGGTCTTTCAATGTGAGCTAGACACATATGCTGTAAATCTGAACCCAGCTTTTGGCAGCAGCATGAGAAAGGTCTGTAGACGTATTGATCCTCTTTGCCTGTGTTGATTTGGGTGTGACGGGGGTGGTGGGGGAGGGACTGTTTTTACTTTGGGGCAGTGTAGCCTGCTGATTTGTACAGCCAGGTTAAAAGGTACTGCAGCTGTTTTTTGAAAGTTACTGAGTTGTGTGCTGTGCTCGGCTATTTTCGGATGTGATTGTGGTGCATTTTGTTACTTTTCTATCTGAGGGATTATTAGAGCAAAGCACCACCATTGATTAACCAGTTACCATTGATTAACTGGAGAAATGAAAGACAGATAGCATAATGGAATAATGGCTCCTGAACAATGGAACTAAGACTTTCTTTTTAGAGACAAGGGTGGGTTTTGATATACAAACTAATAATATTGGGCGTGTATAAAATTTTAAAATTATTATAGTCTTTCTCATGTAGAGTTAGGAAATATGGGATCAGAGCAGTGAGGGAGCATGTGTGAGTACAGGGAGCAATGTTTAGCATATTAGGGTTTGTGAGGCAGAGAGGAAAAGGGGAATTGAGAAGGAATAGAAAGAGATAAGATGCAGCAAGGAGAAGGGAGGGAAGAACATAAGTATAGCAGGGCAGGAGATAGAGAGGGGGCTTAGGAAAAAGAAAGTGACAAAGTGATGGGAATTATAGAGCATTAGAGGGGAGGGATAGGATCTTGGCATGGGAGGTTCTAGAGCATGATGGGGAAAGGAGCTGGCGGCCTGTTAGCCCCATATTTTCCCTTGGCAGGCATGTGCTGTAATCTGCCCTCTGTGGGGGTTGAGCCCCTCTCCCTTTTTTTCCTCTGTATGCACACTGGGATCCAGTCCCTAACCACAGGATCATCCTCTATTTCATGCCGCTGTTAAGTTTCTCCTGTGGGAGGTTTTAGTTTGTGCTTTTGCATGATATGGAATCCTGGGCTTTTCTAGAATGCTGAATCAGCAAAAACCAGTGAAACCCAAGAAACATAAAATGAAGGTATGATTACCTCTGCTCTTGTTGAGTGATGCTCCCATATGTGCATTCATACTCTGCTTTTGCAGACAGCGCAGAACTATCAGGGAATAATGGAACAATCTGAGTAGGAGTCAACAGTATAAGACTTGCAAAAAATGCTAATAACATACTGGGCTTTATTAACAGGAAGTTGAGTCTCTCTTTCTCTAGCACTGGTGAGGTCCCATCTTGAGTACCAGGGCCATATATTGGATATAACATTTCAAGCAAGTTGTTCAATATTCAAGCAACATTTCAATATTCATTCAAACAAGTTGTTATCAAAGTCAAAAAAAGTCCAGAGGGGATCAACAAAAATGTAGAGGTCTAAAAATCATGACAGGAACAAGTGGAAGAACTGGAATTTTTTTGTCTAGAGAAGAGAAGGCTGAATGGGGATTCTCTTCCTAAGGTAAAACTTGTGTTCATAGGATGTGCACTGAACTATCCTATGCTCAAACACTGGGGCTAGGGGCAGTCGTTCAAAAAGCCTGAGCCTGAATTGATTCAACTGTTGCAGGTTAGTCTAACCTGACTAGGTTAAACTGATTTGCATGTGAACAGACATTCCTTCTGGACTGAGGAAATGCAGACACATGCCTGCAGTGGCTCAGGCTAGAAGCTGGGGAGCGCTAGAGCAGCCCTCCCTTCCCTTCCATATTGCTGAGTGGGGGGCCAGGCCCCAACAGGAGGCTCTGATTAGAGAGGGGTTTAAACCCTCACCCTACCTGCACTGTCCCAGGCTTTTCCCTGCTCACTGCTCAAGGGGTGGGAGTGTTGCTAGCCCCCAGCCAGCACTCTGAGGCAAAGTGGGGAGGAGGAGGGAGGACTGTTTGTGTGCAGTGCATGCATCTGTTGATGATACTGAGTTTTTCAATCTTCCTCTCCCTGTTTCTTCATACTATCTACAGCAAACCTGACGGACGAGGGAGCCAACAGGCAGCTGATAGCCCAGCATTTAGCAGCCTATCAAGAAAACAAAAGCCTCTCATCAGTTCAAGCTCTTCTTATGTTCTGTTACAGGTTTAAACCAGTTTCTGATCACTTAAACTAGTTTATGTGTAATGTCTGTCCCTAGCTTGGAATTCCTATTTTATCAAGATACCCTCACACCTATAACCTAGTCACACTGATTATTGGATTTCATTAAACCCTTTTGCTTGCCAATCAAACACAGACATAATACTCTCATAGCCCACTTTGTATGGGGAAAAGACCCTGGGTATTCCTACTTACACATGCTACACAATTTAGTGCCAAAATTTGGGAAACTGCATTCCTCATGGTAATATACCAATTTTTCTTTCATTGCAGGTACAGGTAAGGTGGAGGGATGGAGGCCCCACTTGGAGGGGTGAGGCCACCTTAGATGATCCCACATCACAACTGTGGCTCTGCTACACTTCACAAATGAATCCTTTCTCTTCCTTACAACTATAAATACCCCAGCATATTCATTCCCAGTAGCTTTTGCCAATTCTGGGAGCAGGGTGCAGAGTTAAGGTTGTTGTGGCGTGTACCTTTACTCTGGTGTTCAGAGGTATGACTTTTGCTCAAACTTGGTCTTTTGGAAGGACATGAGATACCAATGGACAACCTCAACTCTGCATTAAAGCTTTTTTTTTTCTCAATGATTTTTTTACTTGGGGTGATATATTCTGGATAAGCTTAATTCCCAAGGTCAAAACCTTTTGTACCATAGTTATGACATTTTGATTTGCATAAGCACCTTGTCTGCACAGTACTTTCTCTGCAAATTTTGAAACAGTATTGTATAAGGGGTAATTAAACCAGTCTGTTTCTACAGCACGTTCTGTCTGTTTCTTTTTTTCATTATTAGATGTGATGACACATTTGCCTATGTGGCTTCCCACAGATGGCACTGAAGGTTTGTGATCAAATGGTAAGAGTAAACCAACTGTCATCTCTGATCACAGCTTTCCATATTGCTCCCCTTGTGTAAGAATCTTGTTTAAATAAAGGGTTCTTTCTTTTTTTAAAGTGACACTGTACACAGCATTAATTGGAAGTGAGGAATAATGTGTGTACTTTGTCATTAGCAGATTTAAAACATTATCAAACAGTTTAATGCAAAAAGTATCAATCTTATTTTTAAAATGGATGGCAAAAATTAATATAATTAGAAAACACATAATTTAATATGTTCCTTGAAAACAATGGAGGTTATAATTGTCCACATTCTCCTGTAGCACTTAAAATCCTAAGCTAGATGGAATAAGTCACTAAAATGTTTGAGATTTTTTTACTAAAAAAAATTGAGAATGATTACCTAACACAATACTCTTTGATGTATCTGGTACAAAAATATTTTTAGTTTACACAAAACAGTTGCAAGAAAATTAAACTGTTTTGGTGTTGTCAAAGACAATAGAATTTGGGGGCTTTAGGGTTTTATTTTGTATTATTATTATTATTATTGATAAAGATCCTGAAAAAATTATAATAGTTTAAAATGACATTGGTAGTAATCTAGAAAAGGAAATAAAAAAATTAAATTTGTGGCTTACTTCTGATCTGGTTTAAAACAGACAAGCCATCCTAAATGACAGAATCAGACCTGCAGTGCCAAAATCAGTCCAAGTATACAGGGCTCATTTCCACTGCTTACATCATACAGATCTTGAGAGAGGGATATATTTTGGTTGGGCTTCAAAGCAGGATGCCTACTTCTGATACAGGTGTAGATATAGCTAAGCAAAATACGTAGGGCCATGAACAATGCATGCCTCTGGAGGCTGGGGGGCACAGTGACCACCCATAGTTGGTGGCAACGGTGGGGGCATGGCGGCAGTGAGCAGGGAGCTCCTGCAGGCAGCTGTGGTGGTGGGCCGAGCAGGGAGCTCCTGCAGGCAGCTGCAGTGGTGTTGGTTGGGTGGGGTGGGGTGGTGAGCGTTGACCAATGGTCAGCGACCACCCACAGATGCCCCTCTGGAGGCTGGGGGGCACAGTGACCACCCATAGTTGGTGGCAACGGTGGGGGCATGGCGGCAGTGAGCAGGGAGCTCCTGCAGGCAGCTGTGGTGGTGGGCCGAGCAGGGAGCTCCTGCAGGCAGCTGCAGTGGTGTTGGTTGGGTGGGGTGGGGTGGTGAGCGTTGACCAATGGTCAGCGACCACCCACAGATGCCACCAGTGGCAGGTGGCAGCAGCCAGTGGGGATCAGGCACTGCCTGCAGATGCTGCTGGCAGTCTCAGTGGTGGGGGGTGGCGAGTGGCAACTGCCCGCAAGCACCGCTGGCAACATCGGCTGTGCTTTTTACAGGGGGGTGCACCCCTTACACATCGCCAATGCCTAGGGCAGTGATTTTCAACTAGATTGCAACAGCAGATTGGGGTGCCTTTAAGTCCTTTGAAGGGTGCTGTGAGTGCCACATAATATAAACACTGTTAGGTTCACAAACATATGATTCACAGGATAAACCCAGCGATTTCAATTAGAAATCCATAATTGTGGTCCAAGTCCTTGGCAACAGAAAAGCTGCTCTATTATTTGTCTGTAGGTAAAAAGAGTGAAAATTAAGAACTGGCATTTCCCCAGGGGTGCCTTGAGTCTAAAAAATAGTTGAGAACCACTGATCTAGGGCAAATAATTTATTTGTAGGGGTTGTGTGTGTGTGTGTGTGTGTGTGTGTGTGTGTGTGTGTAGGGGGTTCTCATCACAAATTATCAATGATCAGACTTAGAGTCTGACAGACTGGTCCTACATGCAAAATTATTCAAACATTTTAGTTTGTGGGTTGTTTAGTTGCTTATTCATTTAATCTAGGTCCTTAGATTATTTGGTATTGTTTCTGCTACTTGATTAGTCTAATAAAGACCTCATAAAAAAGGGGGAAATCAAAGAGATTTCAAGACTGCTTGCACCAGCCTTTATGTGAAAAAATGTCTGTTTGAATATTCATGAGATGTTTGCTTTTGATATTGATCTGTTTTTTAATCGCAATGAATATTTGTGAATATTCTACCCACCTCAGTATTCATCTAGCCATTACAAAGAGAGAGGACATGCTTACTCTACTAGGGCAATGCTTAAAAAGAAACCAATGACTCATCACTCAATTTTAAAATAGTGGAAATCCTTCAGTATAGCTCTAGCACATAACAATAGTTCCATGCTGATCATTACTGTAGTGACCTGATACTCTTCTTTCTGTTGAGACATCTCAAGAGACTGATTAAAAGGAGAGATCAATCCATAGCTTCACAGTAATTTCACACTTAAATAGGATTCCTTCTACCCCTTGTTATAATTAGAATAACAATGGCATTTTTCTATGTTAATAAGATACTTTCCATCTTGGTGTAGGTTTCTTGGGGCATTAATGAGCTCAAGAAGGAACCCTTTTTAACTGTGTATTGCTCTTTCTAGCTGTATGGGTGGAGGCAGCCTTTCAATCAGGTTTGAAAGACCAACCTAAAGAGACAGTATTTGGAATTGATATTTTTATGTGCATATTAAACAGTATTTCTTAAAGGTCATGGTAATTTAAAATGTTGTCTGATGAACTTTACAATTGACTACAGCATACATTTTTATACACATATGTGCGTGTGCATACATGTAAAAACATTTGTGTATATATATTCAAAGAAATTTAAAAAAAACACTGAGTCAAAATGTTGTCCTCTACCTTGGTGGTCTTTGAAAGCCCACCATTTTTACCTTAGCTTCTGCTATATTCTGTTGTGCTTTTTGTACTTACTGCAGGAAATGATTGTAGTGCTCGTGACCAGTGCAGTAAGGAGACAGAAATGCCAGTTGTTCCCTAAGAATCCTGCAGTCAATGCAAGATTTCACAATAAGAACAAGATGAGGCCTAGTGTAGACCACCTTGCACCCTAAGGAGGTGCAAAACATGCCCCCGTTTGGCTACTTATTTAGATAATGATTTCAGCAGACATGATGAGAGGGGGACTAAGTGCCTTTAACCCAGAGATTATGTTGATGCATAGGATACTATGTTTAGTCAGGGTACTCCTCACATGAATGTTATGAAGAAACTTGTTCTGGTCTTTGCCCGGAGAAGGGACTGTGTATATACATAGCAGAGACCACCATAGCAAGGTAAAGTAGAAGAGCCAGCTCATGAAGTGTTTAAAAAAAATAACCCTATCTCAAAAAATATGACATAATAGTCTTGTTTCTACCATGTGGAAATAAACAGCTTGTTTTTAAAAAAATCAAATACACATCCTAAGGGTCTTGCTAAATTGCTGAATGTAAATTGCAATTGGAATTGACTATTAGAAATCTTGGTAGAGTAGGTTAAACATCTGCTCAATTTATTACAATTTTATTTGTAGTTCATCTGTAACTGGTGCAATTAAGCCAATCAGAGCAGGCGAATCAAATCTAATTTACACTCTAATGGACTAAAAAGGAATGAATAAACACAGCACTCCCAGATCCAAATGATTAAACATGTCTCTGAGGATATTTTTTTCTATTTCTGTCTAGAAAAGTCATGGTGCTTATACTATAATTAACCACTAAGGAGTGATGTAAACTAGCTTGAGCATTCATTCATTTTTCATATGTTTTCATAAAAATGCTAAACAAAGCATGTGAATTTAATTAATTAGATTCCATCAGAACTGGATGGATTTACTTATAAAACCATTTACTTCATATACAAGTTTGTGATAAAATTAATACACTGGAACACATTAATAGAGATCCCATTTATAAAACTAGAAAAGAGAATTTGTTTATATTACTGGACAATTTAAAGACAAAATTCAGAGGTAACATAAATGCTTAAGATACATTTACCTTATTCAGGTTCATTTGGGTAATGAGTTTAAGTGGCTGTAAATATTAAAGAAACATAACCAGCACTAATTTGATTTTCCGTAAGTGCGCAAAATGAAATTGGGGAACCAGTTTACCTAACACCTAACACAATGGCCATGATGCAAATTATTTGGTTATATCTGTATAAATATACAGTAATTTCTTCTTCTCTGGGCACCTGAAAAACCTTAGTCCAAAGGCAGTTTACTGAAACCACATGTAGGAATGGGGAATTACTTTAAAATAGGCAGAATGAAACCCTTTAAAACATTCAGCAGAATACATAGCATGATATAGATATGTGATACGGAAGCAATCCCTTTAATCCATATACAACTTTTTGGAACAATGTGGTTCTTTCTAACCCTTTTCTTGCACGGGTGTCCATCTACAAGAACTTTTCACCCAAGATACACTTTGACAGATTACAATGAAGAGAATAAGAAGCAGGTGTAGTCCCAAAGTGGTCATTTTGTACCTGGCTGTTTGTTCTTACAGCTTATCTTCTGTCAAGTAAGTACTCTTAACTGAATTACCATCTTTGGCCATGTCCATACACCTATATTTTTCATGCCTGAGAGCAGTGCTATTCAGCACATCTGGGTGCTCCATGTAGGTTGCCTGCTAAAGTGGAAGCCATATAGTCACATCTGGCCAACACTGCAGGTGGGCTAATTACCAGTACTGAGTGACAAGGCTAACTATTTTGCCCCTCCCATAATAATTAGCTTTACTATGACACTGCAAAGGTGTGGATACACTGCTGCTGCTTTTGGAAGCATCACATGTGGAACGTTGTGATATGTTTGATGGTGCCACAGATAGTTATGGCAAGTTTTCTGAGAGACATAGTTTCATTCTGAAGAAAACAACTTTCTCATATCTGAGTAGACTGAATATGACTAATGTCGTTTAAATGTGGGTATTTTTATTACTTGTTGAGATCCAAATGATTGCAATATTTCTCTGCAAG